AAATTGAAATAATTACACTCGGCATTAATACGTTTTTACATGACACATTCACAGCATGACTCACCACATCATCATCGGTAAACAACTGTGATGTGCAATGACTTCCCCCCTAGGTCGGCTTAGCCTAAAATTTTAATGTGGTTGCAGTCATGCGATCGCGAACATCAATACTGTAAGCTTCATGCTTTATATGGCAGTTCACGCCTTTGATACTGGTAGAAACATCCTGGTTACACCAGCCCACAGGGGATTATTGCGTCCGTCGTGCAGGGAGGGGCTGGGTGGGGAGGGAGGAGCTGGGTGGGGAAGGGAGGGTGGGGAGGGGCTGGGTGGGGAGGGGCTGGGTGGGGACGGTGGGGCTGGGTGGGGGGTGGGAGGGGTGGGGCTGGATGGGGAGGGGCTGGTCACCCCGTGGTGTCCTTATAAAACTCAACGTTTAACCTACTCACGCCGGCTTGTGCCCGCCCTCACAGTCGCCCATATTTGCGAAATACACCACGCCGCCGTTGACCCTGGCCATTGACCGAGCAAACCAACGTTCCTACCAGCTCCCTCCGCAGGAATGTGTTTTTATATAACCATGCCCATGTAACAGCCAAGTCATTCCCCAATGTGTAATGTCCTTTAAATAAACAAATTAAGACTGGCCTACACGCATTTCATACTTTACATCCATTATTTCATCAGGGTTAGACTCGCCGAGCAAATTCACCCTTGCAATCTAGAATGTTCTTTTCTCAGGGGATTTTCCGGGTGAAATATTTTGATGAAATATGAAATCACATTTGGGTGGTGTCCCTTATGTAACCAACTTTTAATCAGTCTCCCGCCCCTGCTACTGCCCTTCACCAAACCTCATTGACCAACGTGGTGAAGTATGGTCAAAACAAACCGCGCCACTGCGTGCGCTGCCATAGAATGGCTTCCGTCCAACAGTAGTGGATTGACAAGGGGACTTTATATCATTCTATTCATATATATTTGACAACGTAGTATCGAAACCAAGTTGGAAGAGCCCTTAGCCATTTCACATTTGACGATGCCCTTTATTCAACCGGGCTGGGATGGCGCCTGTCCGTGTTCACCGTCTGTAAATTGCCACACGAGCACCCTCCACGGGCCGAGACTCAGGCGAGAAATACGCAGACAGATCGGTGGTGAAATAAAGGGGTTCACGTTTGACGGATCGAGCGTCGGTCTGCGTTGAGGCACTGGGCACGGCGAGTGACAGAGGGACCAAAGATTGGGTCATCGGATGAGCTTAGAAGGGTGCTGTGGCGATGGGATTGGATTAGGTTTCTGTTCGGTGCGGAGACGCTGGCCTCTGAATTCGCCACTGTAATTCCAGCCCCCGTTTATGGATGTAATTTCCCACCCGCACCCCACTAAAGCCCCGCGGCCCCTCCACCCCCCCCCCCTCTCTTATTTATGAATTTAAAATGCGATAATTAACTGGCAGTCTTCCATCGGAGCCGTCATTTTCAATTCCAGCGCAAATGAGAAACGTCGCATAATCCGGCTGGCTGGCTGGCTGGGTGGGCGGGCCGGAGGTAAGAGGCAGGCGGTTACGTGAAAAGTGTCGGATTCGTGAATGTGGCCCTGTAGGGCCAAAAAGAAAGGGACGGTGGCATGCGTCCACGCGAATTTATCGACACGGGATGGTGGGGGCCTTCGATCGGAACGGGGTCCGTGAGGGTCGGATAGGCGACCTTGTCCTGCATAGTCTCTGTTTTTATACGGATGTCTGTCTTGTTGGGTGTTTGAGCTGAGTTGTGTTGCTGCTGTTGTTGTTGTTTTCATTCATTGAGCCTCTTGAGCTTAAGAGGCTAGGTTTTTCAAAGGTGACTACGGGAGCGAAGGGGGGGGTGTGAAAAAAGGAGAATACAGCACAGAAAAATGTAACATCGTTGATTAACTGTGACTAACCCAGCCGTTAATAGGTCCTGCACATGATCAGATTAACAAAATCCATTGTAATTTACATGACTACATTAACCCCACTGGTCTTCGCGCCTGAGAGACTCGCAGTGATGACATCACTTTTTGCTCTATTTAAGGCCGAAAGCAGTTTGACTTCTTCACAATTCTGGAAAATCCCCTGATGAGGCTGGCTGTAAGCACCAGCGAAACGTCGTACACCGGTATGGTGCACTAGTAACGAATTGGCACGTTTTGTTTACGTGACAAACCTTACCAATCGGCTGTGTCGGGTGGTGGCGGGTTTAACGGCGCATTTATATTCACGAAAAAAAACCTTGACCATGAACGAACATTGCAAATCGGACATTTTACACGTAGCCTTTCGCGACCAACATCATGATTCACGAGCATATTATTTTAGGTGAGATCTTCGCGTAAGGCGCAGCGCCAACGTTTAAACTCTGAACCCTCTGCCACACGACGAGAGACGAATCAATGCGAGCTGTCGCGTGGACGATGACGCCAAATGATCTTCGGTTTGATTATTGGGAAGTTAATATCACGCGAGAGCGCTGAGCTCTTTTGCTAACAGCTGGCGACGCTCGGATGGAATCTCCAAACGAACCGCGCGGAATTGTCGAGATTCTTTGCCCGCTTATCGGCATCCCACCCTCCGGTTTTGGCCTGATAAAAACAAAGCAATCGACATTTTTGTCCGCCCACCCTCCACGTGACAATTTGAGCTTATTTGACTGTGTTGAGTAGTGAATTGTTATAGATTAAAAATATATATATATAACTGACAACAGACGTACACGATCTAACCCAGAAAATATGACCGTGTGACAATTTATGCAAAGAAGGAAACTCCACTGCAACAATAGCAGCAGCAGCAGCTTGAACCTCAGCGATGCGTGGATGGCAGAAAGAGAGAGCGAACAGAGATGATCCTCCGTCGGGAGCTTCGCGTGGAGGGAGAAGAAGGCTTGAGGAAGAGCAGCGAGCGAAGATGATGGGAGGGCAGGGGAGGGGGGGGGGTCTTGTTGGGACGTCGCGTGGATATTTGCGCCGGCTCCTTGACTGCCGATTTCCATCGAAGGTAAAAGGCTGAGTCGAGGTCGTCGGGGTCAAGGGTCAGGGGTCAGGGTCGAGGTCGTCGGGGTCAGGGTCCAGGGGGTCGGGGTCAGGGTCGAGATCGTCGGGGTCGCTCGAGAAAGGCTGTGGCTCGCTGACGAATAACGGTGGTGGCTGCTGCTGCTGGGACGCGCGACCATGGGACTCACGTCCAACCGACACATAGACATGGGACACGTGACCATGGGACACACTTAACACTGCGCCCAGCATCCTGTCGGACTTCAAGATAAATTATTCCAGCGGTATGTGTCTAAGCCGGAAACCCTGCAACGGTTTCAACTTCTCTGAGTCTCATCAGCGTGGTTGTTGTCAAGTCAAAAACTTCCCACTGATGGGCAAAAGGGCCTCTTGTGTTTCCCTTCCCCGGCTATCCATTGTTCCCGTTCTGTAGCGTCCTCCGAACTCTTGGTGTTCATCGGCAAGGTGTGGCCAATGACCGCATACTCTGATAGGTTGTCTGATGTGATGGGCAAGAGCACCCCATGAACACCGTGGGTTCCCGTTCACGGCAGTAAAAGCAACGTGGACGAATGCGTCGATGTCTAGGGCTGTCCAAAACAATTTAAGTCTCATTTGTTCGTTGATAAAGAGAAATACAATTTTAAAAATAAACTTAAAATTCACCATCGCTGTACTCCATCATAGCTCTCTGTTGACATCAGTACCTTGAGACGCAGTGGCCTTTACATGCAGTGTAAATACAGTCTGTATTGTCATTGCATATCAAGTGATGTCACGAACGTGCCACAATGCTGTGTTCGATCGTAAATTTAAACAAAATATTTTGTTTTCTACTCCCGAACGAAGCTTGAGACATGCCGTGATGCACGTGGCCTAGAGTTCCAAATCCTCCACCCGTGACTCATTGCTCACTGGCCGCCTTTTCCAGTTCACTGCCTGGAGTTGAGGAGGAGGTAGCCACAACCCATAAGCGAGCGGTATGGCGGGCATGGTGTGCCGGGCACGGGGATATTTCTTCCGGTTCACCGACCCAAGACGGACCCAGGTGCAATTAGATAACCGTACTTTTGTGGGTTTTGCCAATCTCTGCAAAAAACTAGAAAAATATCATCGCCATCATGTATTGACCCGAAGAGTCCGTTTGGATGTCTCGCACAGTGGTGGGACCCGCTGCGTTTAAGACAACGGCCCCAGGAAGTGGATTTCAAAGAGCTACTTCTAAGATCCCTTCAAGAGAGCCACCTACTCAACACTGCAGAGGGCACGGCACTTTCCCACCCGTTCTGCCGCACGCAAGAGCAACGTTCATCGCTCGACAGTCTGAACTGACATTTTCATTGCCAAAGTTGGAATTTATCCAAATTAAATACGGAAACCAATTGAGGGTCATGGTTGTTATTGCGTTGGTGACCGGGCTGAGGCTATCAAGTCACTGCACACGAGAAGCCGGTTTGCTCACGGGGCGGCCGAAATCTGGGTTGGAACCCAGGGTCCTAGCGGTGCCGTCGCTGGGGCTCTGACCTCTGAGCCACCCGGCCACCTCTGCGTTTTTCCTGTCTTGTAAATAAGAGACGTGAATCGATGACGATGATAGATGTGTAACCGCACACGGTTGCATACACGGGCAGATCGGCCAATGTTTGAATTAACCAATGTTCTCTCCCTTCCCCTCCTCCCCCTCCCTCATCTTCCTCCCTCCTCCTCCCACCCCTCCTATCCTTCCTCCTTCTCCTCATCCTCCTGCCATCTCCTTTTCCCCCCTCCTCCTCCTCCTCCTCCTCTTCTCTACTCTCCCTCCCTCATCCTCTTCATTCCATCCCTCCTTCTGCTCCCTCCTCCTCCGTTTCCTCCTCCCATTCCGTCCCATCCCTCCTCCTCCTCCCATCCCCTTCTCCACTCTCCTCCTCCCCCCCAAACTCCTCGCCCCTCCTCATCCTCCCCACCCCTCCTCCTCCCACATTCCACTGTCCCCCTCTCCGCAGTGGTCATCGAGGACGAGCGGATTGATGATGTGCTCAAGGGCCTATCGGACAAGACACCGCCCAATTAAATCGATCGACCCCATCGATCGATCGACAGAGCGACGAGTCGGCCAATCATCAACCCATCGACCAACAATCAATCAAGGGCAGCAGAGTGAGAAGCCCTCGCGTTCGGGCAAATGCCATCGATAACAGTGCACTGCGAATCATCATCGCATATGGCACACACACACACACATGTATATGCTGTGTGTGTGTGACATTGATATCAACGGGGGAATTACAATATCAGCGGACCTTTGACACGATCGGGAAGACGCGTGTAGCAGGCACACGGTGTAGGTGAGCGTGACGCGCGGGTGTACATGCATGGCGCGCGTGCGTGCGTGCGCACGTGCGCACACGCGCGCGTGCGCGCGTGCGCGCGTACACACGTGCGCATACGCGCTCGCGAGCTCTGCGTGCGTTCCCGTGCGCGCCAGCCCGTGCCGCGGGTTACGTCCCCCGACACCGACGGGGGGGAGATGGAGCAAATGGACACAACGCCTTAACTGCACTGTCGCCACGGAAACCGACTTGAGGCTACCACTTTCGGCAAGCCAGCAGTGGAGAACGGAGATGCGGGCCGGGACGGGGAGGGGAGGGGATGATGCGGGGATCGCTGGGAAGGAACTGCGGGCGATGATTTCGGCGAAGGGGAAATTATTTTGGGGGGGGTGGGTGGGTGGGTGGGGGGGGAGAGGGGCGGGTTGGTTTGCCCGATCCGCTCGCTTCTTTGGCTGTATTATTTTGTTTTGCATGAAGTATTTATTAGAGAGGTGTGTGCGATTATAGCACTACATGTGTCGTCAGTGGTGTGGTGGGGAAAATGTTTTTTACTGTATTAAATCTATATAACCACACGCACGCGCGCACACACACACAAACTCACACTGACGTTGTCAACGGGCACTCTGGTTCATCCCACAAGTAAACGCACTCGACAAGAACAATAAAGTTTTAATTGGCCAAACCATCCCAAGTCAGGATCCTCTTGAAAATGGGTGTTGAGACTCCCTCTTTGCCAAGCGGCACACTCGCTAGCCAGCGACGGAGCGTGACCCTGTTTAAAGGGTGGAATAGATAAATATTTACGATTTTTGGAATGTTTGTCTATTGTGCATTCTGCTCTGGCCTCTCACCAACTCCGTGTTTGTGACACACAAAACATCAATTGTTTTGTTCGTGTGTCACACTTTCCGTTAAGCGGCAGGGCCATTGTCCTCGCCAGGGCATTTGATCAGCAGCATCGGTTCAACACGAGCAGACTCGGGAGCGGTATCGAAATTCAGTGTCTCGTGGGCAATCCGTCAGCCTTTGCTTTAAACCAATGCTGGTGAACTAGCGGGACGTTTATCGCCGTGGGGCCCTATCTGGGCATTTTCATGGCCGCCGGTGTTAATTAGATACGGCTGCCAAACCCCTGGTTGATTTTGACAGCGAGTAAAAATTATTTCTGCAGTGACACTGGCTCGCAACACTCCTCATTCCGCGCCCGTCCGGTAACGCTGGTCTACGGACAAAATGCTTCCGAAATAAATGCAGTCCAACTTTACTAATTCTGCAGTTATAACCGCTCACGCTCAGAGAGAGAGAGTGAGTGAGACCGAATGGCCCCGACTCCCGTGAGCCGGGGTGAATGTGGCTCAGTGAACGCCAGAGCGGCGTTTCAGTTGGCCCAGCCGCGAGGACATGGTTGATCCGCTGCTAGATGAAGACCCACCCTGCCACACCCCCCTGCCACCCCAAAACGATTAACCGAATCATGATTATTAATGATCTATTTAGGCACATCCATGCCCAATCCCTCCATATATTGGCCCTGCAAACATTAACATTATTTGATCATTAATTCTGTGAACGAGATTAATTATGTCCAGTTACAGCAGCCAGGCCCGATCCTCCTTCCATTATATACACGGGGCCTGAAACGTTGCGCATCGTTCAACGTTCATTCTGTGAGCGGGATTTCAACGTCCACCTTTTGCGGATTCGGACGCCTCCACGCGCTGCGTTGTCGACAAAAATTAACGCGCGTGCAGGCGGGCGCGTACGGAATGCGTCAACGCGTCGAAACGCGCTTATTGACCCCTACGTCACAAACTGAACTCCCTCCCCCGACGCAGCAGCTGCCACGGAGTTTCGTTTTTTTGGTTGGTGTTTGGTGGGTTGAGGGAGAAATTCATCCGAGCCATATGAATGGATGTAAAGTTATCAAGGAATTGCAGCCCCGCAATTCCGCACTCACGCACGACACGCACACTCTGCTCGGTGGCAAGGAAGCTCCTGCTGCTGCCTGCGACTGACAGTAACTGTTATCCAAAGTTCCATAATAATTGTGGGGCTGTATTAAACAAATAACTACTAAGTAAAAAGCGTACATATATATACTTTTAATATTAAATAACAAAAAGTCTCTAGCGAAATGACATGCGATGGAATTCTGTCCACGAGGGTTGTAAGGAGGCGCGCTCACGGATGTGGGGGAGGGGGGGGAGGGTGAACACAATACGGACCGGGCACGAAACGTCGGTCGCTTAACGTCGCAATAACTTTTTCGACCGCCCCGTCATCTCAGCCCGGGGGCTGTACCAAGGAGGGACGTTAAAGACCCCCCCCGCCCCCACCCCCCGTGGTCTGTGAGCGTCGTCAATTTTGCAAGCGTCAGCCAATTATTATTAAGATGAACGGTCTCCGTTTAAACAAAAAGATACAAACCGAGCCCCAGCTGCTGCTATTCTTCTACCGTGCCCCGTCATGGGCACGTGGAATTTCTACCACAGGCAAACAATTCCTCCTTTGCGTACGGGACAATATATAACTATCGCTCGTGTTGTATCTACTACATCGGTATCAGCATGATTTGAAGCGTGCGAGTCACAGTGATGTCATTGGTGACGTGAATTCACAGACGGCCCCCCGGCTGCCCTTCCATCCTCTCCGTGTACCGCGTCGTTCGTGTCGGTAACGCGCCCCCCTAGCGAGCGCCTATTATTAAGGCTGGCGCGGTGCATGTTTGGCGGACGGTCAATAAGTTGACGCCTGGCCGGCCGCCTTTGTCTCTCCCCCACCGCTGACTGCTGTTAACCCGCTCCCCGCACTGCCCTGACCTAACCACCCAATTGTTAACTTTGTTATATCGGAGCGACCTAGGGAAGGGAGGATGGCTCATGCCAGACTCTGATATCCCAGTGTCCAGCCGCACTGATTTCAGATATAAAGGGACCGTATTGAGGAACGGGTTCTGAATAGAGCCCAGAGGCGTCCCAAGGGGCGACCGCCCCGGGCCCCGCGCTTTGGGGGGGGGGGGACCTGGCACTTACACGTCACGGTGTCTGATGTAATAGTGCCGGTTTAGTCTTGAAGGCATTGGGGGGGCCCACACGATGTGATTTTCTCTGCGCCCCCCACCCCCCCCCCCCCCCATAAAACTGGGAGGCAAATTCAGTGACACGAGATGTATTATAGTCTCATCTGGAACGTGTAGCCCCCCCCCCCCCCGGCCCGTCATGGGAATGTGGAATTTCCAACCATTGGTTCAGGGCCACCGTTAGAAATGGGTGGAGACCCCGACGCGTACGACGCATCGACTTGCGTGCGACGATTTAAAGCTTTCGTGACTGCAGGGAATAAAACATAATAAAATAAAATAATTTTATTTTATTATGTTTTATTTTTATTATTTTATTACTTCCCTTCTACGTGACTTTACCGAAAGAACCAAGAAGTTGCGTGCGACGATTGACGATTCTGATTCGACGCGGCACGGTGGTGATGCGTGTACATTAGGTCCTCGTTTAACGCGGTGGAAGATGCGTTCCTGAAAAGTGCCGCATTAAGCGAAAACATTTCCCCGTAATTAATGTAGTAACGATAAAGGTTCAGCGAGATGCGATGTACTACTACCACTACTACTACCACTACTACGCACACAACACAGTGAGATGGCGTGACAAATAACGGAGGGTACACACCGCCACTGCATTACTGTATCATTCCGCGTCCTGTATCGCTGTACTGCTCAGCCGCGCAGCTCAATAAAGTAGTTCGTCTTCGACCGCTCAGAAACAGTGTTATAACGGGCGCGTTATAACGGGCGCGTTATAACGGGCGCGTTCCGCGTTATAACGGTGCGCGTCACGCGTTCCGCGACAAGTATTCCCGAATGGAAGAACCGCGTCAAAGCGAAAAGCGCGTCGTAGTGTGAACCCCGCCACGCGTTAAGCGAGGACTTACATTGATACGACGTCAAGGTGATGGGTGACAACGTCACACCGTGTGTGTGAGTGTGAATGAGACACGGATCCCCCTGTACGACCACACAGCACGTGACGGGCAAGCGCTGTTAGCGAGCACCTATTAAAGCTGACATGGCCCAATGTGGTGAGGAGCTGGGGGTGTGGCTGGAAAACCGCAACCCGGCCGCCTTTGTCTCCCCAGTCCCTGCCCATGTTGGATGCACCAAAGCAGATAACCAATTTATAGGTTGTTCGGCCAATCATTGCACGTGGCACCTAAACGCAACGCGGGTCCCACCCTAGGTCAACGCAGCCTTCGTCAGCGCCACGACCAGGGCTGGAGTTCTCTTGAACTTTCACTTGAAAACGTCGAGGGGTCGGGTCTAGCGGACTGGTTCGTCTCATCCTGCACCACACTCTGTCCAACCGCGTCGCCTGCGTCTTCCCTTCGCGCTGCTCAACTTTGGAATTCCGTCCCATCGTGTCTCCTCCAAAGGGTCGCGTAACAAACAACCTTGCTCAATTCAAGACGCCTGCCAACCAGTATCCATGACTACAGCACCTGCAATAGTGCTGTGGGTTGCTGGCCGCTCGATGTTTTTTGAGGCTAGTTAGGCCTAAGCTCGGCAATCGTGATTTAAATTTAATTTTAAAAAGCTTATGCTGTGTGTGTGAAACATCAGCACTGGGAAGACAAATGCGGCCGGGCGCGGTGCTGGATGCACTACACAACGACCTTCGTCCGCAGTGCCAACCTTAATAGGTGCTCGCGAACTGCACTTGCCCCAACAGTCTGCGTAGGCTACACTGGAGTGTGTGGTGGTGGGGGGGGATCTTTGTCTTTCGTGTGGAACAGACACGAACAGGGGAGCAAATGCGTCGCGGTGGAAGTGGTCCACACTCACCGACGTCGCTTCGAGGGCAGCTTCCGCACGAACTCGTAAAAACCATCGTCGGACGTGCGGCACCCATCAAATATAAACACACGCACAGCCCCTTCAATTGCGCCCGTCTCCTGGGCTTCCTTTTCACCGGCTAGGGGCTTCGTTTGAGGTCAAGAGCGACCTCGTGTCCATGGCCCATCCTGCGGCCGAGCTCCTGAAAGTATTCCCACGAGAAATCCACCCCCCCCCCCCTACACCGTGATGACACGAGCGCAGTTGCGTGTCTGGGTGCGTTTCGCGTGGCTTGGGGCGGTTTCACTCGCGATCTGCGTCTTCATCTCTCTCTCCATCTCTCTCTCGCTCTCTCTGTGACTGCACGCGCTGTTTAACCTCGCCCTTCCGTCAATAAAGGGCGAACGCTCCTGCCAACTGCGTTGACGACGACGATGACTCATTATGACAATGGCGATGATGACCACAATGAAGAATTATTATGAAGATGGCAATGATGATGATGATGCCTACGATGACTACAACGATAACAT